AGGGAGAACTTCCTCTGCTCTGTCTGTGGAGTAGACTTGCTAACTTTCTATAGTTTCTGAATCTCATTTTCGCTTCATTAAAAAAATAATTTTGCACATGGCAGAGGCAGACAGTGATTCTCATAATGACATAGAAGTAAATAACAATTATTTCCCTATAGGTATTCTGAGTTATGAAAATATCTTTTATTTTAAATATTTCCTCTTTAAGATACATATACTTGGCCGGGTGTGGTGGCTCACGCCTGTAATCCTAGGCACTCTGGGAGGCTGAGGCAGGTGGATCGCTCAAGGTCAGGAGTTTGAAACCAGCCTGAGCAAGAGCAAGATCCCATCTCTACTAAAAATAGAAAGAAAACAATTGAAATATAGAAAAAATTAGCCGGGCATGCCTGTAGTCCCAGCTACTTGTGAGGCTGAAGCAGAAGGATCGCTTGAGCCCAGGAGTTTGAGGTTGCTGTGAGCTAGGCTGACGCCACAGCACTCTAGATTGGGCAACAGAGTGGGACTCTGTCTCAAAATAAATAAATAAATAAAATAAAAATAAATAAAAGCTTTCGTTGCCGATAGCGCGCACGCAAACATGGTGAACGTTCCTAAAACCCGTCGGACTTTCTGTAAGAAATGTGACAAGCACCAACCCCACAAAGTGACACAGTACAAGAAGGGCAAGGATTCTCTGTATGCCCAGGGAAAGCGGCGTTATGATAGGAAGCAGAGTGGCTATGGTGGGCAGACCAAGCCGATTTTCCGGAAAAAGGCTAAAACTACAAAGAAAATTGTGCTGAGGCTTGAGTGTGTCGAGCCCAACTGCAGATCTAAGAGAATGCTGGCTATTAAGAGATGCAAGCATTTTGAACTGGGAGGAGATAAGAAGAGAAAGGGCCAAGTGATCCAGTTCTAAGCGTCTTTTGTTTATTATGAAGACAATAAAATCTTGATGTTACGTTAATTAAAAAAAAAAATAAATAAATAAATAAATAAATAAATAAAAAATTATAAAAATACATATACTTGTAATGGAGTTTCTAATATGCCCAAAGATGAAAGTTTGCCCCACATGGTTTTAAAATAAATAAAACCAAGCAACAAAAAGGGAAAGTTCATGGCATTTTCTTTCTCTTTACTTTTACAATTTTCTTGCTGTTATTTTATCACGAAACACGATTTTAAAAGAAAGATGGGAATTCCTCTGAAAATAGAATTCCTTCCCTTATCAGGAATTTAGAACAAACAATGATTTACACACACACACACACACACACTGAGTGGGGAGAAGAGTTTAAACCAATGAGAGCTCTTTCAACACAGGGTAGACGACACATCAAGATTCCTCCATAACCCAAGGCAAATTGAAATGGGCTTTTAAAACAACCTAGCCACTTCCACTCTTTCCTTTGGAGTCTATTATTTGCATTGGGTATTTCTAAAAGACTCATAAGGTTGTTCTTAAATATGCCTTTTCAAATGAAATTAATGATTTAATTTTTTTTTTCAACCCATATGCATGCACCCATCCATCCTAGGCAAATCCTGGCATTTTGATTCAGCACTCAGTCTTCCCAGAGTTAACAGCTACCTCGGCGTGGCTGGGGGGCAAAAGCAGCATTTTCCTTCCACCCCAAACAAAGCCATTGTATTTACCTTCTACTTTGAAGATAGTAAAATGTGGCCGGCAATGGAAAGAACCCAACGCGTTACCTGCGCAGTTCATCCACAGACCCTGGTAGACCCAAGTGGCAGTTACCACGGAGGATGCGCGGGTGGTGACTTTCCACTCATTGGACACTGTGGCAGCTACGAGGGCTCCGAATCCCCCGACACCAAACACCAGAGCCGGGATCTGTGCCCTGGACATGTCGCTCAGCCTTCTCCAGGGACGCGGTGCAGCCCGAGCGTTCCGATGGGCTAGGCATGCGGCGGACAAATAACACTGGGACAAGCGTTACAGGCAGCGGGTGAGGGTAGGTGACAGTCTTTCATGCTCAGATGGCCTGGGGAGGTGCAGGAATTGAGGACAGAGTACGATTTACCAATGGCATTTTAAAGATGGCCTAACATAATCTCTCTAATTTCCTACATGGATATTTTCTAAAATTTAGTAGATGAATTTTAAACGTTTTGATTTGGCAGATTTTTTTTTAACCTGGCACCATAGTTAATGCTTAATTTTCTGTAAGCCTGAAGCTTAACGAACCATGCAACTACCAGATATTACAAAGTACAAATTATACAGTAACCGTTAAGGATTATTTGACCAATTGCTTTTATGCTTTTGAATTTTTACATAAATGGAATCATATCGTAGGTATTTCTTCTGTAACTTATTTTTTCTTTTCTTTTCTTTTCTTTTTTTTTTCTTGAGACAGTATCTTGCTCTGTCACCCAAGTTGAAGTACAGTGGAGTGATCATAGCTTGATCTAACCTGAACTACTGAGCTCTAATGATCCTCCTGCCTCAGCTTCCCAAGTAGCTGGGACTATAGGCGCATGTCACCACACCCAGCTAAGTTTTAAAAAATGTTTTTTTTGTAGAGACAGGGTCTTGCCACGTTGCCAAGGCTAGGCTCCAACTTCTGGCCATAGGTGATGTTCCTGCCTTGGCCTCCCAGAGCGCTAGGATTGCAGGCATGAGCCGCTGCACCCAGCTGTAACCTATTTTTTCACACAACATTATGTTTGTGAGCATCATCTATGTTAGGGAATGTAGCTACAGTTCATTAAATATTGCAGTTGAATATATTATAGTATTTCATTAAATGTATAGACCACAATTTATCCATTTAATCCTGGCATTTGATTCAGCACTCAGTCTTCCAGAGGTAACAGCTACCTCGCGTGGCTGGGGGCAAAGCAGCATTTTCCTTCCACCCAACAAAGCCATTGTATTTACCTTCTACTTTGAAAGATAGTAAAATGTGGCCGCAATGGAAAGAACCCAAACGCGTTAGCTGCGCAGTGTCATCCACAGACCCTGGTAGACCCAAGTGGCAGTTACCACGGAGGATTGCGCGGGTGGGGACTTTCCACTCATTGCGACACCGTGGCAGTACGAGGGCTCCGAATCCCCCGACACCAAACACCAGAGCCGGGATCTGTGCCCTTGACATCTCGCTCAGCCTTCTCCAGGGACGCGGTGCAGCCCGAGCGTTCCGATGGCTAGGCCATGCGGGCGGACAAATAACACTCGGACAAGCGTTACAGGCAGCGGGTGAGGGTAGGTGACAGTCTTTCATGCTCAGATGGCCTGGGGAGGTGCAGGAATTGAGGACAGAGTACGATTTACCAATGGCATTTAAAGATGGCCTAACATAATCTCTCTAATTTCCTACATGGATATTTTCTAAAATTTAGTAGATGAATTTTAAAACGTTTTGATTTGGCAGATTTTTTTTAACCTGGCCACATAGTTAATGCTTAATTTCTGTAAGCCTGAAGCTACGAACCATGCAACTCCGATATTACAAGTACAAATTTACAGAACCTTAA